GCCGCATCTGCGGGGACGTCTTTGCAGTCGATCGGCTTGCCGTCCTCCTTGAGGACCCCATACTGGCAATAGCTCAGCCCACTCTTCAAGTTCTTGAACTTCAGGTAGGCTGGTCGCGTTGGGAAGTTCGTAGGGGGAAAGAGCTGGTTCTCGCACGTCCCCATGCTGGTCGCAACTTCGAGGCCTAAAGGCGCCAAGGCGAACCAGCCTTGGCTGCTTTGGACTTCAGATACCACTGCACTTTAAAAGTCGAAACGAGCTAAACTCAAAGTACCAAGAATACAGAATTGTAGTAAACCTGTACGAAGCAGCCCAGGAAGGCAAGGAAGAAAGATATTGTACTGGCCCAGAAAGCTCGCATATGCGGATTTTGCTGCACAGTGCCGCAAACCCTCAAGAGCGGCAGCTCCGTGGCCTTCTTGCTGGAATCCACTGCCAGCTTGTACTCCATGGTTCTACAAAGCGGGATGAGACTCTCTGTCCTGGAGGCTATTGCTCGAACACCAAAAACTGCGAAGCTCATGTCACCATCGGGAAGTTGCATCACCCTGTCAGAGGAATCTTTCAAGCAACGACCTACATCTATCTGCACATCTGACTCATATTTCTTCTACAAGTAGCAAATATAATTCTAGCACTCAGCTCGAACATCCAGAGCATCCAACCTTGGACGCCACCGCCAGACGTGGGTGGATGCAAACGTTTCGAAGTCGAAGCTGGGCGATCGAAAGGCAGCTTGCATGAAACACAACGGGTCATTGCTGGAATGAGACAGTGCCTGTGACAAGGATATTTGGGCTCAAGGATCTCGGACTTTTTGAGCTTTTGTTGGGGCGCTTTCTTGCACTCGGCTTGCTTGACACAGGACTTCCCACAACGAACCTGCGCTTCACTGCGCACTCCTTGCAATAGTCTTGCGCAAGTCATTCGGGCTCTCTCTCTCTTGCACGTATCTGGTTTGTTTCGGTGATTATACTCGCACAGAATCCAACCTCACCGTAAAAGCCACCATGTTAGAGGGGGCATGGCTTTGGGCAATCATCCTGGACCATATCTGAAGCTGCTCTCGTGCACATCTGCCAGAGCCTCACTTCCTGAGTCTTCCTGACGGATTGCAGCATCAATCGCGGCCGGCAGGACACGGTAGTTGTGTACTTTTTTCTCTTAGCTATCATCTTCCAGCTTTTTCAGCAAAATGACTAAGCCTTTGCAGAGGGTTGCAAAACAGGCATCTCAGTCATAACTTTTTTGCGTGTCTTTAGCACCAGAAAAAAGCTAGTTTCTGGTGCATCTTTTTAACCAACCCACCATTGTTGCGCTGTACTTAGCACCAAACCAGAACCGTCACACAAGATTCGTTTCGGGTTTTTGTCTTTCTCGCTGGATGCACTCCTTCGGGTTTTCGTCCTGGGTAAAAGGTTCTTGTTCTTGCGGATTCACTCCTCAGGAGACTCCTGCTGGATTCAGTCCTTGGGGATCTGATCTTCGGGAAAAGGTTCCTGCTGGATTCACGCCTTAGGGTTTTCGTCTTCGGGAAAAGGATTCCTGATGGCTTCACTCCTTACAGTAGAGTTTTCGTCTTCAGTAAAAGTTTCCTGCTGGAATCACTCCTGGGGTTTTCGTCTTGGGCAAAAGGTTCCTGCTGGAGTCACTCGTCAGGGTTTTAGTGTTTTTCAAAGGTTCCTGCTGGATCCACTCCTTAGGTTTTTCGTATTCGGGCAAAGGTGCCTGCTGGATTCACTCCTTGGGATTTTCGTTTTGGGTAAAAGGTTTTGGCTGGATTCACTCCTTAGGATTAGGATGTTCTTTCGTCTTGTGGGTAGTGGCGGTGGGCGGAGTAGGTGGGGAAGATGGGGCAGGCGGGGTAGGTGGGGCAGGTGGGTAGTGGAGGTAGGCGGGGTAGGTAGGTGGGGTAGGCAGGAAAAAGCTACGTCTAAGAGCGAAAAAGTTGCATCTAAGAGAAAAAAAGTTACAACTTAGCCTGCTACCATCGCGGCCTCTTACATGTTGCGAAACTGCATGCCTCTTGCTGTTTCGCTGTTGACGAAACATGCTTAAGCTGGTGCTGTTTGATCTGAGCTGGGTTGCCCATTCGTTGCCTGTTCCCCGTTTCGTGCCAAAAACGGTACTGACAGGCTTGTGAACCCATAACCATGCCCAGTATGCGGAACATCCCAGGCTGGCGCAAAGCTCAGGCCCAGGCGATGAGCTTCTTGAGGCTCCGAATATCTGCAGCGGCTTTGCATGCTTCGGGTTTCGAGCTCATGGCTTGCAGGCCCTGCGCTGTGCTCAGACCGGTCCAAAGCGAAGGATTGTGTAGGGTAACGACCCTCTAACTTCCCCACACACCTCTAGGACTCTAAAAGCTTCCAAGATCCCCCAACCCGGAAAGTCGTGAGAATCCCCAAATCAGAACGCGCCCTTCCGGAACGAAACAAACTCAAAGCATCAAAAGGCCTTGCTGCGGCTTTTCTCCCAAAATGCCTCTGGACATCTGCGTGTTCTTGAGAGACAGGATCCGGCGGTACCACTGCACCTCGCGAGGAAAGACAGTGCAGCGTTTTGGGCCGGCCCCGGACTCCCGGCCCGCCCGGCCCCCTGCTGCAGCCAGCTGCTCTTCTTTTCCCCAGGCCTGGAGTGGAGACATTGGCAGCCAGACGTCGTGGAAAGTCTTGGGCGGCAGCGACAGCACCTCGCAGGCCATAAGGAGACGCCTCTATCGAGCCCCTTCGCCGTCACCGTAACCAGCCTCCTCCTTCTTGCGCCGCTTCATGCTGAGAGCCTCGAGACGTCCGCGGCAGGGCTCAGTGTCTGGGCTGCTTCGAGTTTTGGGGCTTCCAAGCCCCGCCTCTGAATTGGATTGGAGTCTTGGGCTTCCTTTTCCGTGTCTCTCCGAAGTTCCAGTTTGGACAAAAATCGCAACCCCCCCCCCCCTCTGAAGACATGCCTAAACTTCCTCTCTCACCAAGGCGTCGGCCAGCAGCCCACGGATCTTCTCGACCTTCGGCTCTTCTCTCGCCCAGTCTTGCTTACTTTTGCTTCGGGGGCGCCGGGCCCCGGGCCATGACCTGGTTGATGCAAGCCTTCTCAGCCTCCGCCACGTCAGAGTCAGAGCCAAGAAAAAACACGAAGACAACAAAAAGACACGAGATTAGGGATTAGGGGGGGGTAGCTAAGCCCCTCCCTTTTGCTTGGCAGGGCCCTGGAGTTCGTGGGCACTCAAGGGGTTGAGGCCAGCCCCGAGCTTTCGATGCTCGCTTAGGGGTGGTTGTGCGACCCTCAGGGTTCGCTCACCCAACCACCCCGTGTGTTCTGGAGTGTCCTGCGCTGGACACTGACAGCCTTGAAACTCAAAACTGTAAGACTGGGTCCCTGTTCCAGAACCTTCATCGCCCCAATTTGGCGAATTAAAGAGCGAGTGCTCTCCAAGCGCCTTCTGCGCCAGCTCGGGCAGCTGGATGGCGTTCTCAAACATCTGCGCAGCACCGTTGCTTGTTGGATAGCAGGAGCCCCACACTTTGCCGGCTTCACAGTTTTAGTTGCATGATGTTGCTGGTGGTTTCGTGATCCGTCAACACAGGCTTCACGGAAGAGGCTGGGGTGGCAGAAGCCCCGAATCGGAACATGGTACCCCGGGTACCCCAAAGAATCCGAGACCCGGCACTCGAGCGTGAAGCTGAATGCCCCCTGCCTCGGACTGCTTCGCCAGCACGTCCGGCCACAGGAACTTAAGCAGAGCGTGGAGCTCTTTCAAGCTGTTCTGCCCAGGGCTTCGGGAGGCGGGCTGCTCTTTTCCGGACCTGAACCGCCCGCTAAACCGCTAAACCTTGGAAGAGCCAAGGGCTTCAGGTGAAACGTTGACATCTTCGAGTCGAGCGACCCGTGATCGGGGCCAGGCACCGGGACTTTGGGGCTGTGGGAGCTTCATGTCCTACTCCTAGACTATTCAGACTCTTCACCCTTCGCTGCAAGGCTGCAGAGCCCTCAAAACACCCAACGGTCTGAAAACTCTGTGGCCTGGAGCGGCGTGCCGGTCAATAGAATTCGGCACGCGCTGCGTGTCTCTTCCAAGGCCTGGAACAAGGAACAGAACAAGCTGGAAAAGAACGACTGAAAAGCTGCGTTATTCGCTTTTGGGGGTTCGAGGACCCGGAACTGTGTCGAGTTTCGGCCTGCTCAGAAATTACCAGGCTTCTGTTGGATCTAACAGGTTACAGTGAATTGGGAAGCAAGCACTTGAGAAGATGAAAGGCTTTCTCACTTCAACGGCCTTCGTCTTCCTGTTATGTCGGGATCTTTGCAGATCACTTAGGTTTCTACATGCAGGCCCGCGATGTGCGAGACCTCCCAAACCTCCAGTCATGCACAAGTGTATGCAACGACACGCCCAGGCAATAAAAGCCCTGACCCTGAACCCGACCGCTTTGCTGACCATGTTGGAAACAATCGGACTCGCTTTCTGAACCTTGCTTGGCCCTTGCCTCCCGGATTCGGCTCGCAGAGTTCTTTGCACGATGCGCCTGGCTTGGGGTGAGAAAAAATGGGTCCAAACACCAACGAATAGCTGCTCGCGAGTTAAGCGAGGAAATGTCGATGTGGAAGACGGTCACATAAGGCTTTGGTGAAAAAAAGCCGAAGGTGTCAAGGTGGCAAGAAACAACAAAAGCACACTCTTTGCATCGCGCAGCAGGCGTGCCTCGTCCAAGATGACGGCCTTCCAGAACATCCGCCCGAAGTAGTTCTGCGGAGTTTCCCGGGCAAGAAAGCTGTTGGACAGAGCACATGCGCCCGCGCACGCGTGCGCCTTACAAAACACGCGTGCACCTAAGAAACATGTGCGCGTGCACCTTAGACGTGGCGCCCTCGGCGACTCCCGCACCCACGAAAATCCACCACTTTCCTTTCCCTAGCTTTCACATGCCCGACCAGCTGCGACTGCACAGCTCTGAAGCTTGAAGCTGTGACCTGCGAAACCCTGCTTCTCCGTCCTCTATGTTTGCCACTGTCTCGTAGGTCGTAACGATGATGTCCTTGGGATGTTTCGAGAGCAGCCACGATGCAAGCAAAGAGTTTGCCTGGATTCGACAGCGCCAGACCAGCAACCTCAGCAGCGTGAACCCCAATCGGGACCGAGACAGGCGCCTTCATCCCGAACCAGATCTCGTTGTCGTCCAGACTCAAGGACTTCTCTTTGCTGTTGCCGCAAACCTCCCGGTCGGCTGCATGCTCCATTCCAAGCAAAGCCCTGGGACCGCATGAAAAAAAGCTGGACCGTCAAGAACCCACGGCTCAAGTCTCCAGGGAGAGCAGACAAGGCCGCGAGGTGAGTGAGCCACGATCAGTCTTCCACTTTGCTACAGTATCCTGGGGTTGACTCCGCCGAAGAGCCAGCCTTTGCAATCGAGAGATGCGGGACGAACTTTCTCGCCTTCACGCGGGGCCGGTTACGCTCTGAGAGCCTAAGGGCCCAGCACGGCCCAGAGGGCCTACTTGGACAAATCCACGACCCTCTGCCCTCGGCCGCCTCGCGCAGCCAATTCCCAGCGCAGCTCAAAGGCACGACCACCAGGGCCGGTCCCGGAACGCGCTCCTTCACCTACGACACGGGTCGGAGAGACTGCAGCGTTGGGCTGTGTACTGGCTGTGTTGTGGATCTGAAGAGCTGTGGCCACCTTGAGATAGCTCAGGAAGGTCAAAGTCATCAGCGTCTTCCTGACAAGCTCGACTGGCCAGAAGAGCTCTTGGGAAGCGGGGCGTGTGCTCCAGTCGGAAGCGGTGTCGCTGAGCCCGGTGCCCGAGGCCCATGTCGTCGGCGAGGATGCCACCGCAGCGGTCGAAAAAGCCTCGCGACGCCGCTGTGGAGGTTTCGAGACAGGAAGGTGCAAGGAAGCCAGAAGCCGGGAGCTGCAGGGGGCTGGGCCAACTCCACACAACGGGGGAGGCTTTGAAGAATGCCAGGCCGCACACGGAAGGGATTGAGGCGAAGTACAGCTTTCTTTCTGCTCTCTGAGAAAAATGAAGCAAACGGCCTCCTACCTGAACTTCAAAAACTCTAGCAAACTGCTCCCGAAGCTCCCTGCCTTGGATCATCCAGCCGACGCCCTCCGCTTGGTATTTCTGGCACAGGGGCTGCATCTACAACAAGGAACGAAGTGAGCGACTCTCAGGCGTCGAGCCGGGACAGAAAGCACAGCGGAGCCTTTCCATACAAGGACTCCAAGGCCTTCTGAGAAAAAGACTATTCGGCTGAAGTCGGCTTTGCTTTGGGCCTTCGCTTTACAGCCCGATTTCCCTGCCTTGAGGCGGATGCCCTCCGCAAGCACGTCTTTGTACATCTCGGGCGTGTGGCCTGGACTTGAGCGTTGCTTTCGGCTTCGCTGCCGGGGTCCGTTTCTACTTCGTTGAGGTTTGGCTTGGTTTTGGCCTGAAATGGAGCTCACAAAGCAGTGCGGCGGAAAAACTGGAACAGCCGTGGGTCCAGTTCCAGGGACGAGACGAAGGAGATCTCCAAGCAGCTTTTCTGTTTCGGAAGCACTCTCAATAAAGCTTGTAGAAGAGGAATGTCCCAGGATACATGTGTGTCGAGCACTGAGTACTGTCACAGCAAATTATCTGAGCTGCAGCCGTGGCACTTTGCGGGTCCAGCGTCCGAACGTCTGGCCCCTCGGAGCAAGCAAGAGGTCGTGGGCGCATGTGCATGTCTCTAAAAAACCCTGTATCATTGTGCTCCATATCGGCGTATTTCATTTCTTTGTTCATCCTCCCATGGTATGTCGTTCTTTGGCATTCACCCTTGCTGCCAGACGATTTCTGGATCCCAAGACCACTCTGGGACCTGACCAAGCTGTCAAACGCAAGCCTTTGACGACCTCATGACCCCTCAACCCAGGATAAAAACAAAAACAGCAATAAAAGGCAAGCAGAAACACACAGAAGCCCGGTACACCTGTTTGCTGCCTTGCACAAATTGACAAAGAAGGCCTGAGACTGAGGCTGCTGAGACAGATGCGTCACTGTCATCATCCACAATCTGCGCAGGGATCCACACACTCAAAGCTGCAAACCCGAGCCGGAGCCCCACATGCCCATGCCCACTGAAACGAGCCAATGCCTACCGACAGCTTCAACTTGAACCGCGACAACCTGCAAACCAGACCCCCTCCAAGGAGAGCGCGGCGGCATGGCCTGTGGCATCCTTACTCGCGAGGTCTTTGCCTGGCGCCGGAGGAGAGGAGCCTTTCAGCGGTTCAGGCTGGTGCGGTCTTCGAGGGGTGGAACAGAGAGGACTGCGATTCATGCAGCCGCTGCTGGGAAGAGAGGTGGCGAAATCAGCGCGAGCAGAATTCTCTAAGACCAGCATTGCAAAACGATCTTTCACTGTCGCACACTCGCGATCCAGTCCTCACACAAGGATAAGTTGCCTGCTGAAGGCTTCCCTGCTGTGCTTGTGCGCAGATTGGGCAGGACAGGTTCGCATGAAGACCTCTGCATGTATTGGCCCACAGATCCCACACTGCACCATGCACCACGAAGGCTTCACTGCGACTTCACTTCCACATACTAAGTATCAGGACCACAATGCAGGGCCAGCATGCGGTGCTGTACATCTCTCAAGCCAAACTGCATCAGGCGACACAAACATGGGCACCGTGCGCCCTGGCACCTCAGGGTCAGGGTGCGACCACCCGGCCGGACCGGGAGGCCTGCTCCAATCCGTCTGCCACCAGGTAGAGGAGCTTCTGCCTCTCCGCACGACTCTCGAACTGCATCGGTAGGCCGTGGCCAGGGAACCAGTACCTGTAAAATGGGGCATTGTCTGCGAACCGGCGTAAGGACAACGATTGCGCCTTGCAGCTGAATCGTGCCATCTCGGGAAAGCCGGTGGGCTTCCCCTCCCACACGCCTGCAGAATCGCCTCCGAATGATGTGCTCAGACTGCTCGAGCTCACTATCAAGGAGCCTTCTGTGTGCCCTGGGGCGGCATGGATCTGAAAATCGCCCACCTGCCAAGGTCCACTGCCAACCAATCTCTCGACGTCACCTTTGATCGCGTCGGAATCGTGAGCGACAATTCGCACGGTCTCGAAGCTGTTGCGCCAATTGTCCACCTCTGCCACTCCCAGGAAATCGCTGTGCGTGAAGATGATCAGCAATGGCTTGCCTGGTGCCACTCTCTTGATCCTCTTTGCCAAGTCCAAGGAGTGGTATGGAACGTCAATGAGAGCCACTCCTCCGTGGTCATCGTGAACAAGGAAACCCCAAGGGATGCGCAGGTCTGCATCCAGGCACTGGATTCTGTGCGCAAGGCTCTGGGAGACGTGGGAGGTGTCCACCTGCCGCATTCCCATGCCCTGAGGCACATAATAGCCTAGCGAACCACTCGCCGTATCCCAGGTGCCACCAGGGATGGCATAGACGCGTGGCACGGCAGTCTTCATAAAGCCTGCAGACTGGAACCTGTCCTTGGCAGAAGGTGCAAGGGCCGGTGCTTGCGCATGAGTGAAGTAGACGGAGTAGATTGCAGCAGCAATTGCTGCAAGCCTGTTGCACGTACGTGCGTTCCACTCCATGATGCCCGCAGGTGCACGCTCGCAAGTTCAAGCACAACTCACACTCGAGCAGACACATCAATTACGGCATCACTACTTCGCGACCAAAAGCCGACAGATCCAGCTACAGCAGAAGTCGTGAGAACCGGCAGGCGGACTCAACCCTAAACCTTAAACTCTTTTGGAATTGGTTTCTGGACGGGCTATCCAGGATCTACGTCTACGTTTAGAGAAGGTTCAGGGGACGTGGATGAGTCGCATGACGCTGCAGGCCTCGGAGTTCTGAATTCGCCGGAGGGCCGGCCTCGGAAGTTCGAAGGTCTCAGCGGGAGATGCTAGAGCTGCACAGAGTCCGATCCAAAGCGAAAGGCAAGTGCCACACCTTGAAGCGAAGGGCGCGACATCGTCAATCGCCTGGAGGGTGTCATGTTGGGCATTAGGAGAGACAACCCTAACCACAGATAACCCTGGCGAGAAGAAACCCGACCGTCTCAACGATCTGCAACGATGGTCCCCAAACGCTGATCCAGGATCTCTCTCAGACACTGATTCACGGTGGCAGACTCTGACTATAAAGCAATGCATCTGGTTTAGCTGCCAGCGCTTATGCAACTTGTGCGTACTCAGGAACAGGAACGTCGTCCAATTTTTGACAGCTGCTCGCTGTAGGTACGAGTACTAAGAACCAGCATCAGCCCAGACTGGACTCCTGAACATGATGTCGGATCCGGTTCAACCTTTGACCCCGGAATGGGACATGGCAGACCGTGAGTCAAGCCGATGGCAATTTCACGACACAACCATCCGATCCGCAATCAAGCCGCAGCTTGTTCCGTGGTTGCTGGTAATTGCAAAGGCGGCAGAAGCACGATTGCATCCACCGCAAGATTCAGGTTCCAATCCCTCGGCCCAGCGACACTTGGACCCGCCCTCTCGGCCCAGGCCTTGAGGAAAGTTCGGTCTCGGTTGCGCACACTCGCCGAAGCAATCCTCACGCTCACACTCCCAAACACTCCCTCACCACAGCGGACCGGGAGCATCTGGGCCAGGAAAGCCTGTAGACCTAGACTTCTCATGCCCCGCTCCTACCTAAAGCGGTGTCGATCATGAAGCCCTCTCCCACGGCGGTCCTCTTGCATTCTCGCTGGTGCTTCATCATCAGATCCTTGGTTTGCAGCTGGGAACCATTGTGACTACAGTTTGAATCACCGTCGTTGCTCCTGTTTCTCAGTGGGCTTTCACATCAATACTATGTTGTACTTGTTACTAGTACCGTGGTCGTCATAGATTGAGGGCTTTGTCACTTCATCACTGGGTGGGCCTTAAAGATGGCAGGCTGGGTGAGTGCTTACTCTGACTCCAATGGCGAGACCTTCCTCAGGCCCGAAGCGGAGCGAGCCCCTCTTGAGAAGGGAGTCAAGCACCAACGACGTGTACTCCTGAACCTTCGAGTGTTTGGGGTCCCAGATTGGGAGGCACTGCAAAAACTGGGCCAGTACAAAGGTTGGAATACCAAGCCAAGACCGACACACCTGCCCAAGCGCCTACAGCGGCCCGATCTTGGCCCTGCGATCATCCACCCCCCAAATACAAACCCACCCTGCTGCTCCGACACGATCTCCCTTTTTTGTCGGGGCTGTTGCTGTGGCCAGCCACGACTAAGGCGCTCTTATCCGACAAAGGTTGAAAGCTTTGCCTCTTCGGGCTCAGGTAGTCATGACATGATCTGCCACCTGTCTCCACATGCCATGGGCTCGAGAGAAAAGGGCTTGAGACAAGATTCGACTTGACTAGTCAGTGCAGGCTGGCTCAAACCCGGCGAGCCCAGCTAGACACAGCATGTGGAAGAAACGATCGTAAGCAGCACGCACATGAGCGCAAAGGACACATTTTCACACAAGCGCACCAAACAACCTCATTGGAAAATGCGCCTGTGACTGCGGCCTCACAGTTCCGTGCCTATCCGTTCTCAGGGCTGCGGCGGAAGTACGCAGGCTGGTCCGGGGTCGGGCCGTCCACGACTCAGGCCATGATGCCCCGCTGCGCGGGAAGGAACTGCGGCCTGGGACTTTCGCCAACGGCCACGGCTATCTCAAAAACTCGCTACAAGCTGAGGCGAGAAGTGGTAGTCTCGGCCACCGGCTAAGTGATTACTTTGGGATCTCTGATCTCTCACTTTAAAGGGTTTCAGTCCTCGAGCAAAGCATAAATATCCCTTGACGGTTTAGGCTTTAGGCTGCGATCCTCGAGCCCGGGCCCCGCACGGCACCCGCGGCACTGGCGAGGCACTTCGGGCGGAAACCTGGCCAAAACGATGAGTTCGGAAAAGGATCGAAAGAGCCTCGAGCTTTGGAGCACAAAGTGGTTGAACCCTTTGCGCCGCTTCGCCTGCCTCGGAGTGTTTAAACCCGGACTGGAAGTCCACTCCACCGCCTCCCTGACACTTTCGAAATCGACACCTCCGAAGAAAAACTAGGACGCTACGTGCACATCGTGGCGCCTGGGGGAAGCGGCTCGCCTGATCGAGCTTCATGAGGCCTCGCTTCGAGGCGCTTCGTGGCAAAAAGTCCGAGAGAAAGAGCGATCGAGGGAAAATGTGGCAAAAACGCGCGTTCCAGCCGGGCCCACGAACCAGAGCGCAGCTGAAAAACCCTCAGTCCCCATCCTGCACCTTCCTAGTAAGCCCGAGTGGCTCAGCAGCTCCTTGTGCCGCGAGGCAGCACTGCCCCCCAAAGACAAGGCACAGCCTCAGTCGGGACCAGGGCATACAAGCGCTCTTTGAGCATCGAACAGACCGACATTGGTACTTTAGACTCCAACCTGTGGAAGCCCGCACTTCTCAGTTGAAGCCAAAGGGGCTCTCCATGTCATCTCTGGCATCTTGCAGGCTTCGCGGCTTCATGTCCTCTCAGGAGCGTCAGGATTCGAGGATTCCACGAAGTCTGCTTGTAACCTTCCTTTTCGGGCTCGGGGTGCTCGGGGGGGGGGGGGCTCGGGGGACGCATGGCGCAGCTCCTGCACCAAGCCAGAGGCCATGAAGAGCGGGCCAAGCCTGAAGCAGTGGTCTCGCCGAGGCCTTCAAGGCTTGGGCCTCGGCCTGGGTTCTTCAAGTTGGGGGCGATTCGGGCCGGGGCGGTGGGTGGGCTTCGGTGGGCTGCCTTTTCAGTCCAGTCACACGGAATCCAGGACGACGCGGAGCTCACAGAGGAAGAGTGCCTCGTTGTCCTGGGACGCAAAGGCACAGGCCCAGGCTCAGGACAACCCGAACACACAACTAGTGGCTAGTGTGCGATGGAAACGTCTACCACGACCCCAAAAGCTCAAGAGGGCAGGCTCGGCCTTGACTCTGAATCTCCAAGAGTTGTGTGAAACCAAGCCCTAGAGCCAAGCCCAACACCGAATATTTCTGCGAATTCCCAGCGGCATGGGGCTTGTCTGCGACATGCTGGAGCCGACGCTGGTTTTGCGGGAGCCTCGTCCAAACTGCTGAGGTCTGAGTTCAGACTTCGGTTTTGAAGACTAGGAGCTCCGGGTTCAGGAAATCGAACAACCCGCGCAACCGGAAATCCTGAACTCCAACCTGTTTCTTACGAGTTGGCGCATATCCAAAGCCATGAACCGATTGTGGTTGTGGGTCACGTGAGTCTGATGAAGCGAAGAGGATCGAGAGGAGAGGAACAGGCGCAGGAACAGGCGGAGAAAAGGGAAGAGGGTGTAAATCAGAACTGCTTTCGTTCTCATTGCTCACACAGCTGACCTTGTCCTTGCCCTTGTCATCGTTGTCGTCATCATTCGTTGTTGCTGCCACTGCCAGTGCTGACCCACGCTGATTGATATGTTTCGCTGATGTTGCGTAGGTTCCCGGACATGATCATGACGATGAAGATGATGATCATCATCATCGTCATGATGATGATGATGATGATGATGATGATGATGATGGCGACGATGACGATCTTATGCATACGTATAATCATGCTCCTGAGTCCAATTTCCACTCCGCTAGTGTTGCGGTCACATGAAGTCTAGTCCTCGTCGGCCGCCTCCTTCCTCCTTCTTCCCCTCCTAAACTCCTACCACCACTGCCACTGCCACTGCCACTGCCACTGCCACTGCCACTGCCACTGCCACTGCCACTGCCACTGCCACTGCCACTGCCACTGCCACTGCCACTGCGGCTGCTGCTGCTGCTGCTGCCGCCGCCGCCGCCGCCGCCGCCGCCGCCGCCGCCGCCGCCGCTGCTGCTGCTGCTGCTGCTGCTGCTGCTGCTGTTGGTGTTGGTGCTGGTGTTGTTGTTCTTGTTGTCGTTAGTTATTGT